GCAACTTCATTCCTTCACCAAAACAGAGTAAACAGGTTTATTTATTCATTCCTCTGTCAGCAGAAACAGAAAGTGCTGCGTGGGCAGTGAGTCAAGCAGATGTCCGCTTTGGTTTCTGCCTGACCCACATGTACTTGGTTTCCTCGAGTCTGACAAGGTTAAGAAGCTACCGGCAAATGCCACTGCCTCCACCTAAGAACAGCACAGCAGGTCATTAACATTTCTCTGGTAGGAGAATATTAGCTTCCTCTGACTGATCTGCCTTTGGGGGGTCAGCTCACCCATATCCCACTACCAGGTCCAAACTGTGAATTTCAAAGTCCCTTAGTGTACATCAATCAGCTCACAACCCTGGGAAGCAGCACAATTCAAGAAAAAAAAGTTAAGTCTTCGAGCTTTCTGTATATAGTTGTGTTTCTGTCAGGACTCCAACGTCTTTGTAGCTTGTATTTATCTAAATATGTCTTTGGAGTAAATCACAAAGCTGTCTAGCTTTTTGAAACCGGCTGAGCGCAGCCCTATTTTGGAAGACGCTTGGCTGGATTCAGAGAGGGTTCATTCCTCTGAAAACAATCAGTAGGCCTCTTCTGAAAGCCCTGAGCCAGAGCTCTATGGTTTCTGTGCTTGGGGCATGTTGAATTATTAGCCAGCTATTGTGGGTAGACAAACACTGCATCGCTTTACACAGCGATATAATGACAGAGTTACAGTATTATCCCTTATTACTTGATAATCACCATTTATACGGCAGCAGAGCAACAACTGCTTGTTTTTATTATAGCTTTTCGGGACCCAAATATTTCAAGGAGTAGTTCACCCAAAAATGAACATTCTGTCATTATTTACACACCCTCATGTCAGTCCCGGCCAGTCATTATAATGAAAGTGAATTAGGACTGGGACTGTCAAGCACTGTAAAAGTAGTTCATATGAATCATGCACTATATTCCCAGTCTTCTGAAGACATACAATGGTTATGTGAGAGGAACATACTGGAAATCCACCCTAGCTAGCTCTCTATGAGCATTCATGAGACTTCTTTAGAGAGGTAGTGATTTGTGAACATTTAATTGACATCTTTTCATCCTTTCCCATACAGCAAAAAATATATATTTTCAAATGTATTTTTAAATATATTTCAAAATATACAAAAAATGGTCAAAAAATGCTAAAATGTTTCAAAAAATATTTACGTACATATATGTTCTACTAATATATTTTTCGCCATTTTTTGTATATTTTTAAAAATGTATTTTAATGTATGCATATATTTTTAAAGCATTTCAAAACATATTTTGCCCTCCATATATTTCAGTCTAAGAAAATGCATTTGTTGTTAATAACAAGTTTAAACATAACACATTTTAATAAAGTTCAGCAAGGAGCATAATTTAAAATTATCCAAAAAATGCAATATTGCAATATATAGGCCATTTGTATTTAGCCTAAATTTTCTTGCCCCTGAAGTACATTTAGAAATATAATTTGGTTGAAACTATATAAATTATATAAGGTTGAAATTAATGTATTTTCTACTTCAAAAATATATTTAATTGAGCTTTAGCATTATATTATATATACATATATTTCAAATATATTTTTATTTTTGCCATATCGGTTTAGTCACTACGTTTAGATTAGTCAGAATTGTCAACAAATTAATTTTGGGTCTCAGCAATTAACAGCCCACTGGATTGAAAAATCTTTTAGTGGATATCCACTTAACTTTTGATTGTTTTTTCACACAAAGCTGACTTTAGCAAAGTTTGAACAAAGCGCAACTATTGTATGAACCACATTTATGGCATTTTTATGCTGTTTTGGGGACTTTTATGGTATGCAAGCTCTAGTCCACATTCTTTTTAAAAGCACGATCCGCATATTCTTCCAAATTTTTCCTTTTGTCATCAACAAAACAAAGAAAATCACACAGGTTTGGAACGATATTCCAAGGTGAAGGGTTAATAAGCCATTAACCAATCGCTTAACTGCGCCATAAGAAGTCATTACAAGACTTTAAAAGCACAGCACACTCGGTAAAAACAGCAATCATTTTGAAGCACGCTATGGAGAGCTCATTAAGGGAACCAATGAGCTAAATGGCTTCAGAGAGGCTGCAGACTTCTGGAGTCATGTTTGAGATCCAGGCTGGAGCTGAGAGATGGTTTGTGTTGGCAAGGCTGAGAGAGCCAGACCCCCCCCACCATCTGTCGAGCTGAACTCCACCGCTTCGGGCCAACAGGAGCGGGGCAGAGCATGAGGGGAGAAAACTCAATGTGTGGGAGAGCGATTTGTTTCTGTTAAACAAAAGAAAACAAACGTTTGGAAGGAAAATACACTTGTCATGGATAGAACGAGAGAAACAAAAGATGTCCTTTGTGATGGCAAACAAATACGTGCTCTCAGAGGAAAGAAAAATCCAGCCTTGGCACCCAAACTCGAGATTTGATCAATCTGTGTATTTATGAAAGGCCATCGCCGCTGTCCGGTGGTCATTTCATGCCAACCTACTGCCAGGATAATTGCACCCAGAAGATTAAAGAGAGAAAGTTTAAAATTGGCTGAGGGGAAGGGGACATAAGACAAGATGATGCATTCTGCTTTCCTATTCCTCTTAATGCACCAATCACATGCAACCTGAGCTCGGGTTAATGCAGGGAGTGGCTGGGTCTCATGGGTATCACTAATCGAAATATCCTACACTACCAGCGCAGGGGCCCGTCTCTGAACAGGAACTGGAGTTAATATAAGGTCTCATTTAGCTGCACCGTTAATAAATAGGAGCAGGCATGTTCAAGGCTGCTTTCCAATTCGTCATTCGCTTTTCATTATTCGGTTTCACCGGCTAGACGGAAAGATCCAGCCTTCTAAGAACAGGGCAAGGGTGGAAGAACTTCTAGAAGCCTGACCGATCCCATGGATAAAGTGTGTAAGTGTGCTCGCACTGAGTATGAGGTGCATTTCTGAGCCCACACAGTGAAATCTGTAACTCTTCTGACACGATCTGTGAAATCGTGCTCTTTACCTTTCCCTGACCCCTGTCAGTGTTTCCAGTCCTAACCCTTCCTGTGTGCGACATGCTCGACTTGCTTTCCCCAGCTGGCCGGGCTTGAGATTTTTAATGGGAAGGTTACGGGTGAGGCCGTTCATATCGCACTAACGTCAACCAGCGTAACGAACCCTGACAAGGAAAGGTTACAAACCCTGCCATAAACCGCTCCCGCCCTGGACAATCTTCATTAGGCGTACTCCGGTTTACATTTAGAAAATGTTAAAACGAGATGGAACAAATAAACTGTACTTTAAATTTGCTGTTGGAAAAGAGAAGAAGAGACGTTTATAGTAAACATTCGTACTTCTACCTCATCCTGCTCATTCTCTCTCTGTAATAGACAAATATCAAAATCTAGACAAGTATCAAATATATATTTATAATAGATAAATATCAAATACACTAAGTGCAAATAGCCCAACTTGTTGACAGAGGCTATTTACACTAGCTCCACCCACCAATGTCTGGTTGGCATAGCCAACATTACAAAAGACGTGTGTTGTACGAAAGGCTCAGTGGCATCGGCCGGCCGTAAAGTGCATGGTGGCATTTTTATCGGGTAGGTGTAGGGAGGGCTTTATTGTCCCAATATAAGGTGGCATCCATTTAGTAATTTTAAGAAATATGACAATTTACTCTCAATATGTTATTACCGCATGTTGTTTTATAATAATGTACTATAATATTAATACTATAATAATGAGAGCCAAATATCTGCCATTTTTTGCACTTAAGTATAAACAGCATCGACTATTTACACTTATTGCAAAGAAAATGCTGCTATTTTTACATAGTGTAAACAGCATCCTTGCTATTTGCACTTAGTATAAATAGCATCTATCGCTGCCTCTGCCTTCATGAAATTAGGGATGCACAATCACAATCTACTTTCTAATACATATTATAACAGCCAAATAGCGACCAGTTTTTTTAAATCGATTTTTCATGTGGTACATTATAATGTGATGCCTACATTCACTTGCAGCATTTATTAATTTGAGATTTTTAGCTTTTTTTTTTCATTTACTTAGACAAACTTATATTTTCATATTATCATTATGAAATTATATCCGAAAATTATTATCGGGTTATCGGTATCAGTTATCAGTATCGGTTATCCATATCGGCTTGAAATCGGGACTGTCATTTCCAATTCTAGTCTATATAATGGCATTAATATCAAGCTAGAAAAGCATGTTTTATGAGTTTCTGGCTGTAAAAAAAGATTTGCAGTCCTGACTTCTGTGACCAACCATGTGTCATACAGTATATTCGTGCAATGCAATAGTAGTAGCTTGTAAATGACGAGCTCATGTCTAGAAATCTTTCAAACCGAGGAAACTATTATATAAAAAGCTTCAAATGCCAGTCAATCTAATCTCTGTTGCTTCATGGAAACATTTCAGAAACACAAAGCTGCTCACAGAACTTAATGGTGGTCTAGAGTGACTCCTGTGTTACAATCAGCTTCAAATAAACACTTGTAAAGCTTAACTTGTAAACCTTTGCTCCGGCACAGACCAGACCTGATCGCGCTAGTTATATTGACGACTGTAAATTCATAAATGAAGTATCCCCCGACTGCTAAGCCAAAAAATGTCCCTGATTCAAAGCAGAGCAGGAAAATATTCAGAATATAAGAATGTAATTTATCCAAGGAAAATATTCCCTCCAGCGCACCTTCTCCTCTCCATCAAGAGCACGGGGAGAGGTCGTGTCACATTAAGCTTGGCCCGGATTCCCGGTCCGTCTAAGAGAATCACATCTGGATGGGCTGAAGGAATAACACCCAGAACATGCCTGCACTGACAGCGTCCTTTAAACAGCGTTTGGGAAAGTCAAATATTTAAGCAAGATCCTTTCCAGTACAATGATCAAAATTAAAACAGTGGGAAGTTTGACCGCAAGCTTTTCCAGGCACGGATATCAAAGGGAAGCGATGACTTACAGTCGGCCCAGCTTGGGTGTGGATTGGAACAGCAGCTCCGGCAGGACCTGCAGCCGGTTCCGGTTCAGGCGGCTGTGAGGAAGAGAGGACAGGGGAAGGGCAAGAGTTAGTGCGGTCAAAACATCTAGAGTCAGGAGGGAAGAAACGAAACGTAAGACACCGTGAGAATGGCCTTACGCAGAGCACAGATCAGTGGGTAGTTAGATTATCCGAGGCAGAAAGAGAGAGTGAAAACCAGGAAAACAAAGATGGAAAGGTTGCTTGACTTGCAGAGCGACACGCAGGCATCTGAATATCTAGATGGATGAGACAACAAGGCAAACACAAACGACACACAGACAGACCAATCCGTCTTTCTGATTAAAGCAACAAGCCGTTGTTATCAGGATCAGCAGCATCACTACTGGCCAATAGCTACATCCTGGGGTCAGGAGTCACAGCTGTGCTTGGGCTGAAGGGAAATAAATGTACTTCCTCTGAAGATGGCCTAGGTTATCTCCAGCAGTACTCTTTAAAGGCTATTATCACTCACATGAGCCTGGCCAGACTGACTGTGGGCTTTGGTAGGATGACCCTTATCACAGGAGTGTGGGTTTTGATGATAGGATGCAGGGTCACGGAGCAAACCAAAGGTATGTGGAGGAGGAACATCACTAGCGTTTTGTTTTGAGGACCTACAGCGTTTATAACTCAGTTCCTTGCTGTAGCCTTCAAGTAGACTCATTCTTGAAGAAAAAAGTTGGTTTTCTCTTGCTAAAGCCTCAACTCCATACTTGAGCCTGCTTGACAACATCTTGTAATATCAAAAATACTATATAGAAATCTTGCAACAGACCTTAGTCAGGGCAGTCCCTTATTTCATTTTTGCCAGGAATGACAAAGCTATGAGGGATTAAATTACAGTTAATTCAATTTATTGAACTGCTGTTTAACAACATACAGATGACTGATGAAACTTCCTTATAAAAACTCCTTTGGTAGAAAAACTCCATAAAACAGTAGTGAATTGTGAAAATTACATGATTTAATTAAAACTCACAGCCTCGTTTTCATTCGCGTTAAATTCAGTATGGCATCTAACCTGATTAAGGTCTATTGTGCTATGCAAATCTGTGCGTCAATGACTAGAATTATATCAGTTTATTAAAAAATACATTAAAACTGTTATTCACAAATACAATGACTTTAACATGCCTGTTCTATGATAAGCATGTCTTAATTTTCTACTGCTGAAAATGCACAGGAATAAAATATTTTTTATTAGAATGTTAAAATATATTAAAATAGAAAGTGGTTATTTTAAATGGTAATAATATTTAACAATATTAATGTTTTTAGAGTAATTAAATGTAATCCTTTCTTAAATTATATAAAATAGTTTTTACACCATAAATAAAAATCAAGATATAAATATTATAAGAAATAAAAAAAGTGCTTGCTTAAGAGCATAGTTCTAAAGCCTCAACATGTTTTAAAGTAGATTTTTAAACTTTTTTTTTTTTTCGGTAAACTTTAGTATAGGGACCAACTCTCACTATTAACTAGTTCAGGGCTGTCCAAATTCGGTCCTGGCTCTCACTATTAACTAGTTCAGGGCTGTCCAAACTCGGTCCTGGAGGGCCGGTGTCCTGCAGAGTTTAGCTCCAACCCTAATTAAACACACCTGAACCACCTAATCAAGCTCCTACTAGGCATAGAAACTTCCAGTCAGGTGTGTTGAGGCAAGTTGGAGCTAAACTCTGCAGGAAACCGGCCCTCCAGGACCGAGTTTGGACAGCCCTGAACTAGTTGCTTATTAGCATGCATATTACTAGTGTATTGGCTATTTATTAGTACTTATAAAGCACATTTTCTGCATGACCATACTCAACATCCCTAATCCTACCCAATACCTAAACTTAACAACTACATCACCAAGCAGTAATTAGGAGTTTATTGTGGCAAAAGTCGTAGTTAATAGTTAATCAATAGCGAGAATTGGACCTTAAAATAAAGTGTGACTGATTTTTCTTTATCGTAGACACTCTTATTTGTCATTGACCTCGGTTCAGATGCTTTGATGTCAGGGTTTGAGGGATCAAGGGGAGGAGTTACCTTAAATTTGACCCCTTTGATTGTTGAACCATGGTTTATAATCTATTTTTAAGCACTATGTTATTCACAATGTGTAGCATGAAAACATTTCTGTTCTTTCTGTTTCTGTATCATTAATTAGAGCACTTACTGTCATAATGTGGTCAAGCTATTTATGTGTCTGCTGGGTTACAACAACAACAAAAAGTCACACTCGGGTGTCAGATGGAGGGAATGCAAGTGGACGCACTCGCCGTCGAGAGCGGGTCTTTGAGTTAAACGCTGTGAAATTCCAAATACGAGTGACACAATGAGGAATGTAGATCTTAAGACCCAGATAAACCAGCCCCACAAAACCACCACAGAGACAGATTCCTCAGAGGCGGTAAACAGACTGATGGTTCTCTGCATGACGGCTGCTGATTTTGATGTACATTCGTCACTAACGTGTGGCGGCAGCTGCCAACGGATTCGGTTAAACACAGACAGAACCGTGCAAACATTTACAAGGAATGAAACGCACTGAGACATGCACACATAAACAAACTCAAGGATGCAAACCACAGTCCAGACATTCTTTGACCTTGTCCAACGGCAGTAATAGCTAGCATGTTTGGTCTGACCCAATGGTCAATTTCACTGGGAAGTGTTAAGATTCTCACCAGAAAAGAGCAAATGGCTGCGCTCCAGATGTCGGGGCAAACGAGCACGTAAACCCGCTGGACTTGAAATGAAAGTTATGGAGGTCACCTTCAAATTCTCAAAGTTCCTTTCGCTTTTGTGAAGATGTTTTAGATTAAAACTGACAAGGTCAATGTGGTGCACATAAACAGCAACAAATTATTTTTGTCCAAAACACACAGAGAAACATGCAATATGTATCAGGACAGCATGCGAGTTCAATCAGTCCTTCAATTTGATACTTACATTCTCTCAAGCTGTTTGAGATCCTGAAATGCTCCTCTTTCGATCACACTTATCTGATTGTTCTCCAGATGTCTGTGGGGGGAAAAAAGAACTTCATTATCCAATCAACTCTGGCGATTCAACTTCAACTGACATTGATTAGGTCTCTTGAATGATTGAAATGACAGTTGAAAGTGAACTAGAGGACCTCGTGACTTCGCTTTGTCACAACAGTGAATGATAAGCATGCAGGTTTTCCTCATGAAAACCAGAGCAGATTTCTCTCTGATTTTATGAAGTGTGTGGTTGCCTCAGCAGACCCTCGTTCGTGTCCAGCATGCTTGTGACGACGTACTGGAGTGTATTTTCAGAGCTCTCCTCTAGACGCTGTCATATTTCAGGGCCCTTAAAATTTTCCAGATGCATTACAAAGACAGCACATCTCCATGGCTATTTCTTGTTTATATTTGAGTCTCTTTGAATCAGGGCAAACGCGCAGTGACATGCATAGGACGCACACAGCCACAGCACCGGATAATACAAGCAATCCTCCAAAAAAAGAGACAATTCTGAAGAAAAGTGCCTGTAAAGTGGACTTCTGCTTTATGGGGTTATGAATGATGTTTTTAAAGCAAATGTTTAGACACACAACTGGTTTTACAGCCATAATCCATGTTTTGTCATATCATTCTGTCAGGAAGAGATGAGACACTTGGCTAAGCCAAAGGCTTTTTTACGAATGTCGCAGCTTTAAGGCACAATCCAGCATGGCAGGCCAAAAACACAAGCCATCCAACAGGGCAAGCCTAAATTGATTTGTTCGTAATAATTGCATTCTTCGCTGATAACTAACATATCATAGAGTCTGCATCTAACATAAATCTGAGCCTGAGTAACTATCTGGCTCATTCTTACAAATGGGGGATCAACCCCTCCGTGGTTTATGTATTCGCATTAAACGTAATCCCTTTCGATCCCGACCAGATGGGTTTTGGTGTGTGCTGAAGAATAATAACAGCTCTTTTTCTTCATTTTTCAGCATCTCTCCCTCTTTCTGTTCTTTGTCTTTCTTGTCTTTATAGAAATGTTTTGAAGTTTTGCATGGAAACATATGGGACACAGGCAAACACCTATGCTTTCACAGGGGCTGACAAGGTGAGCAGAAGACCTCTCAATTGATGAAAGGGTGAGGCAGCACACATGGCATTGCTGGAACAGTATTTGTTATACATTTATAACCAAGTGCTGGTTTATAGGAAGGTCCCATAAAAGGAAAGTTTTAAGTAAGGTCAATCTTTAATTTCAACATCTAATTATTGTTTATTAATTAGGAAACAAAAATATAATAACAATAATAATAATAACATTTAACAAAACTGCTCAGTGCCAATGAATGTTTAAAAAACATTTGTCAATCAAAAGTCACTTGGTGCAACCAAAATGCAGACACATGCTGGGGGGAAAACCCCTCATAATTGTGTGTCAAAGTCATTAAAAAACATTTAAAAATAATTTGACCAAGTTATGAAAAGGCAAGGTTAATTCAGGTTATGAAATGTCATGTGGTGCGACTCTCCAAAAACGTTTTAATATTTATGAATTAATAACTCTGTTTGATTGTCCTCTTTCGATCACACTTATCTGATTGTTCTCCAGATGTCTGTGGGGGGAAAAAAGAACTTCATTATCCAATCAACTCTGGCGATTCAACTTCAACTGACATTGATTAGGTCTCTTGAATGATTGAAATGACAGTTGAAAGTGAACTAGAGGACCTCGTGACTTCGCTTTGTCACAACAGTGAATGATAAGCATGCAGGTTTTCCTCATGAAAACCAGAGCAGATTTCTCTCTGATTTTATGAAGTGTGTGGTTGCCTCAGCAGACCCTCGTTCGTGTCCAGCATGCTTGTGACGACGTACTGGAGTGTATTTTCAGAGCTCTCCTCTAGACGCTGTCATATTTCAGGGCCCTTAAAATTTTCCAGATGCATTACAAAGACAGCACATCTCCATGGCTATTTCTTGTTTATATTTGAGTCTCTTTGAATCAGGGCAAACGCGCAGTGACATGCATAGGACGCACACAGCCACAGCACCGGATAATACAAGCAATCCTCCAAAAAAAGAGACAATTCTGAAGAAAAGTGCCTGTAAAGTGGACTTCTGCTTTATGGGGTTATGAATGATGTTTTTAAAGCAAATGTTTAGACACACAACTGGTTTTACAGCCATAATCCATGTTTTGTCATATCATTCTGTCAGGAAGAGATGAGACACTTGGCTAAGCCAAAGGCTTTTTTACGAATGTCGCAGCTTTAAGGCACAATCCAGCATGGCAGGCCAAAAACACAAGCCATCCAACAGGGCAAGCCTAAATTGATTTGTTCGTAATAATTGCATTCTTCGCTGATAACTAACATATCATAGAGTCTGCATCTAACATAAATCTGAGCCTGAGTAACTATCTGGCTCATTCTTACAAATGGGGTATCAACCCCTCCGTGGTTAAACATATGGGACACAGGCAAACACCTATGCTTTCACAGGGGCTGACAAGGTGAGCAGAAGACCTCTCAATTGATGAAAGGGTGAGGCAGCACACATGGCATTGCTGGAACAGTATTTGTTATACATTTATAACCAAGTGCTGGTTTATAGGAAGGTCCCATAAAAGGAAAGTTTTAAGTAAGGTCAATCTTTAATTTCAACATCTAATTATTGTTTATTAATTAGGAAACAAAAATATAATAACAATAATAATAATAACATTTAACAAAACTGCTCAGTGCCAATGAATGTTTAAAAAACATTTGTCAATCAAAAGTCACTTGGTGCAACCAAAATGCAGACACATGCTGGGGGGAAAACCCCTCATAATTGTGTGTCAAAGTCATTAAAAAACATTTAAAAATAATTTGACCAAGTTATGAAAAGGCAAGGTTAATTCAGGTTATGAAATGTCATGTGGTGCGACTCTCCAAAAACGTTTTAATATTTATGAATTAATAACTCTGTTTGATTGATTGATTGATTGATTGATTGATTGATTGATTGATTGCACTTCTCTGAGGTCTTTTGGGTGGGAAAGATCTTTGTTCCAAGACTATCCAAATCTTTTGTATTATTGTATACTTCTTACAAAAAATATTTTCACAAAATATAATAATGATATTAATATTAATAATAATAATAATAATACTGTTAATACTACTACTACTACTACTACTAATAATAATAATAATAATAGTTTGAAAAACATTTGTCATGCATTTCAAAGTCATGTGGTGCAACCAACATGCAGACTCATACAGAAAAAATAAAACATGAAGTGATTTCATAAAGAGAAAGCCTGCAGAGCCTCATAATTGTATCTTAAAGTCATTAAAAAAATTCCATAATGTCTGTTATGACAAGGCAAGGTAAGTTCAGGTTGTAAAATATTCTATGATGTGACTACCCAAAAACCTACATTTAAAAATAATACATTATTATTAAAAAAATAATAAAACACAGTGCAGCTTACACTTCTCACTTCTTTTAGCATGGGAAAATTCATGTCACAGTGAAGCTAATGCGTGGGACAGTGCATAGGTGTGATTGGACCTTCCAGAGAGATAAGAGGGTGCCAAGGCTGTTCACAGGGCCCAGGGAGAGGCTGCTTTTGGTGCATGCCATGACCGTTAATCATAAACCACCTTAAACTGCCTCGGTGCTGCCCGCCAGCCACTGCCTCGGCTTACGACTGCTCTCTTGGGCGTTTATTTTACTCCTCTTTTTTCACTTGTTTATTTTTATCTCCATTCCACTCTCTTTACGGTCTCTCGTTCAGGAAGAAAACAGCATGTAGAAATGCATGATTACAATCATTAAGCTGAAAGAACACTTTCTCCAGAGGAGATCACCGCTGCCCTGCACCTCTCCGAGCAACCGTCCTTTATTTATTTATTCTAAAGGTTCAAGTTTCTGGAATGGAATATATTGTTACATATTCTGCAAACTTAAGAACAAGTTTGAAGATTGACTGCATCTAAGGCAATGACTTCATGCGAGGTTCAGTCACAGGGTCTTGTTAAATGTGTTGGATTTACTCAGCTTAAATGTCAGTTTGTTTTATTATGACTTGTGCCGTAATCCTCCCGGCTTTCAGCCTCAAACCCTTTGATGGCTTTAACTGTAAAGACAACACGGAAGAGGAGGGGAACTTGGGAGTTAAAGGAAGAATTAACTGTAAGAGCGAGAGATACAGAGTGACATCTTACAGCACGCGCAGGTTCTTGAGGCCAGAGAAGTCCACTTTGGTGATCCGGGTGATGTTATTCCGGTCCAGATCCCTGGAAAGAAAAAATAGGGAGAGGGATTGAGAAAAAAGTTAAAAGCTTTTCATTTCACTTATGCTTTCAAACATGATTTTTCAAGTCTCAGCTCACAGCAGAGTCAGTAAACAGAAAACTTAAATACAGAGGCTCCCTGGCAGTGCCTCGACGGCCCCGACTCGCACCAGATGCCCACAGGGCAACGCTGTTCAAAGCTGGCGTCTGCCAGGGAGCATTAGTGCCATGCTGTGGAATACTGAGTCTGAGAGGCCGACCTTGCCTCGCATTCACTGTGCTGGAGGCGACTCCCATTCAGCATGCTGCTATTGAGCTGCCTCCACTCTAAACGTTCCCATATACACGCTCTCGTGCACGGCTCGGGGTCACGTCAGCGTACACCTACCCTTTTCTGTTCTGCATGTACAATAACTCTATACAATGCAATTCTTTTCTTAATATGTTTAACTGGGTCAAAGTCCCTTTCAAGGAAAGTCTGTTTACTCAACAGCCACGATTTGCAACGCCTCCGGGCAGTTATTTCGGGCATGCAACACTGAGTCCGATCTACCTGAAATCTTAAAAAACTGCTGGCTGTACTCACAGTTAAATACCATATTTCAAACCAGGAACAAAATTTGATGTGAATTGTGCCAGAAATGTTGCTTCCTATGCTTAAATAGTGTTAAAAAAGCTTATATTTCAGGCTGGTCTGGCCAATGCGCATGTGCAGTCCTAAGAACATAACTAACTGCTTCAACTGTTGACTGTAAAAAAAGATTTACGATGCATCTCCACTTCCCTCCACTATAGAAACATGAAGCCAAAACATCCCAGTATGGCCACTATCATCTCGTGCCAGTAACGTTTGGAGCCCGAAACTGCACGGTAGTGATTTGTTTGGAACCCGAGTCGGCGCAGTAGTGATTCATTTAGAGCCCGAGACAACACAATAGTGATTCATTTGGACGAGTCAGCGCAGTAGTGATTCATTTAGAGCCTGAGTCAGTTCAGTAATGATTCATTTAGAGCCCAAGTTGGCACAGTAGTGATTCACTTGGAGCCAGAATCTGCACAGTAGTGATTACTTTGGACGAGTTGGCGCAGTAGTGATTCATTTGGAGCACAAGTCTGCACAGTAGTGATTCATTTGGAGCCTGAGTCGGCACAGTAGTGATTCATTTGGAGCCTGACTCAGTGCAGTAGTGATTCATTTGGAGCAAGAGTCTGAGCAGTAGTGATTCATTTGGAGCCCATGTTGGAACAGTAGTGCTTCATTTGGAGCCTGAGTCGGCACAGTAGTGATTCATTTGGAGCCTGACTCAGTGCAGTAGTGATTCATTTGGAGCCCGGGTCGGCACAGTAGTGATTTATTTGGAGCCAGAGTCTGAGCAGTAGTGATTCATTTGCAGCCCGTGTTGGAACAGTAGTGATTCAGTTAGAGCCCGGGTCGGCACGGTAGTGATTCATTTGGATGAGTCGGCGCAGTAGTGATTCATTTGGAGCCCGAGTCTGTGCAGTAGTGATTCATTTGGTCTGACCAGTAGTGGAAAAATGTATTTAAAATGTAAAATTAGATTTTTTTTTTGTTTGGCTTACGTTCCATTCGTTTACATGAAGAGGGCGGGATTTATGACCTACAGTATATTGCAGCCAGCCACCAGATGGCAATCAAACTTTTTTGGCTTCACTTTTCAGGACGTGTACGACACACTTGGTTTCTACACTGTAAAAAAAATGTTTAATTACACTCCAAAGAGAAAGGAAAAATTGAAATCGCATCATATGACCCCTTTAAAATACGTAATAATGTGTTGTTTCATGCTTAACTTAAAATTATACGTTTAGTTAACTTTAATTTAGTTAAGATTTAAGTTATCTCAACACATTATAAGTTGCTATAACTAACTGCAGCAACATTTTTCACATTGCAACTGGAGTTAAAGTGACACCATTGGCTCTTTTATTTAGAAGGCGGGACTATTCTGCCATAGTGCGTGTTGCACTTTCTCCCATTCATAGTAAAACGAGGGCATGAGTCTTGGTATTTCTAAAGTCTTTGTCCGGATATGTTTTTTTTCTTTTCCATACAAAAACAAGACAGCTAAAGCCTCAAAAAATGTCTGAGGAATGATATTTTGCACTGTATGTAAGCAAAGCGAATGAGAAGATGGGAATAAACTGCTAGAGAGAGAGACAGACTGCATGGAAACATTTGTGTTTGGAAAACGTCTCCTCTTGCATCTGAATGAATTATATATTACCAAACGAAGTATTTTTCCACTCTAGTCAATACTTTATCCTTTTCCCAGACTGTTTTATCAGTTGTTTCAAGCGTGTCTCAAATTGTATATACATTCACCGAAATAAGTATACATGCCTATGGACTTCCTCTGTGGGCGCTGTTTACTGGATCTCCGCCACACTGAAAAGATTAACGTTGAGAAATATACAGTGACATATAATGACACACGCATACACTTACACACTAACATCGGGCCGTCTCAGTGTGTTTCTCATAATATACATAAACATTTATAAATCTGATTTAAAGGCATATTGGATTTCAAAAGATTTCCCCTGAACCACAAAGCGCACATCAAGCAAACTAATATGAGCCATATAGGAAATATATTACAGGGGACAGGCCATTTACAGACCCTGGATTCCATAACATGACCTTCTCCCAGACGTCGGCTGTGTTTCAAAACCTAGGCAGCATTTTTGGGTGTAGAAAGATGGTGATGTCTATATAGGTAGCACACTTGGTTTTGCGCTGCAGCTATTACCTGCTGTGAAAACCAACCATGACAGTATCTTTCACACCCACCTTTGGGCATACAAATAAAGAAAAATGTGAATTACCTGAATCGACAAAAATGTTAAACAAAAATATTCCCAAAAATGTTGTCCCAACTGGCCTAGTGTTGTCTGAACAACTGCTGATGAAGCATGTTAAGAGTTTAAGAGCTCCCACCATGCACTGCAGCATGAATAAATTAAGAGATTACTGGTATTATTGCTTTACTTTTTGCTGACTTTATTTACGGTGTTGTTTTTGTTATTGTTTTTATCGTCACTTATTGGTTGTGTGGTAATGTACAGAGCTTATTTCACTTAAAAGGGTTTGTTGATTGTCATCTTTATTGAGGTACACTATTGAGCCAAAGTTCAGTATTTTTTTTCAGCAAGGATGCATTAAATATAATATATAATAATATATAATATTTCAAATAAAAGCTGTTTGTCAGAAATTTTTATTCATAAAATCCTGAAAAGGATGTATGGTTTCCACAAAAATATTAAGTAGAACAACTGTTTTCAACTGTTCTCAGTACAATAAAAAAAATTTAAAAAGTTTCTCAAGCAGCAAATCAGCATATTAGAATGATTTCTGAAGGATCACGTGACACTGAAGACTGGAGTAATGATGCAGAAAATTCAGCTTTGCATCACAGGAATAATTAGTCACAGTTATTAGTCATCACAGTTATTTTATATTGTAAAAATATTTCATAATATTATAGTTTTTTACTGTATTTTTTAATCATATGCAGCTTTGGTGAGCATAAGAGACTATGGCAGTGTGTTTTAAGAGTTGAGATCTAATTGCATATACAAGCTATTGTATAAAACGACTGCAGCTTTTATTTACAAATAGTTAGTACTGAGTTAGGACTGATTGGCTCTGATGAGGTCTCACTGGTTTAGTTAAAGCAGTCAACAGCCTTTATGAAGCTTCAAAGTTTCAGTTCCCATTACTTGTAATTGCATTAAAAAATAACCAGTACAAAGTTTCTCCTGCATTGAACTCAGAAATCTTAATGCATCATGTTCCCTTGATCTTTTAACTTCTCCACAGTTCTATACATACACACAGCGTTCCCACAAATTCTCACTCTCCCAGTCTCTCCAAGTCACTCTCTTTCCGTTTTCACATGCCCTAATCTCCCAGTAGTTCCCTCTTCTGTTTTCTCGTCTCGTATCCTCTCACCTGCTTGCAATGTAATCCCACTAATAACACCGCACATTTCCTCCCCTCTCTCTCTATCCTTCACTTCAATCCTCACCGTGTCAGTTTTTTACAGTACGTGTTAACAACCCAGGGAGCTAACTAAGTCCTGCTTCCTCTAGAAACTCAATCAAACCTCCGGTCACACTGACAAGGTGGAGTTCACAGATATGGCAGCCCCCTACTGGCTATTGTTTGTTTTAATTTGTTGAGGGGATAAGGTGCCCATTCAAACGGCAGGTGTTCCACACTAACAATGCACCCCCTCTGGGGTCCACCCCACCCACGCATGCCGTTAGACCACACAGCCCGACTCATCCAGGTCATAAGCCGGCAGAACACTCTGGTAAAATGTGCTTCTCGGGACGGCACCGGACGAAGAGAAGAATCTTTGCGATTTTGGCTGGAGGATATTTTGACTGGGTCGTGCCGCAATTGCAACACCTCGAGGAAAATGTGCATGAAAACAAAAGAGCAGCTTTTTCTGTTCCCATACGATACCCTGCCTCTCGATGCGTTTCCTGTCGTAATCTTCTGTTATTTTCCTCAAAGCCACACTAGTCTAGTCCTCAGAAGCTAATAGGTATGCTCCATTTCCTCTTGAAAGCTTCTCATCGCTGTTTGGAATCTTAAATTAGTTCTTCCTTGGGTTTGGACGCCTTAGAAGGCTGTTTTTTATTACATATGTTCAACAATACAAACACATTAATATTCTCCTCATAACATGCACAGGTTATTATCAGAAAAGATAGATACATCAATAAGAACTAATTTTGCTCTCATGTCTACTGATTAATTACAACGAAGCGCCTTTGAGATAAGCACAGATACATGAGATTATGCTTGTCCTGTGCATTTAAATGAACAAGTTCAGTCATAACTGTCAATGTAATTTCTGCCACCTATTATCTATTCATTAAATGCCTGCATTAATTATAATTTCTCCTTCGCTGAGGTAATTCAACACGGCATCCGTATGCCACTGAAAATGATAAGGCAGATGCTAAAC